TTGTGTTCATGTATTCGCGATTTATCTCTAATCTTAACAAGGAATATGAGTCATGATAAATGAAGGTTTCATTCCATTTTCAATTATAAAATTTGTTGTAAAATTATAATTGAATAACTGTTTTATTGATCAACTAAATCTCATTTAGCTTTGAATATATACATATATATTTACTTTTACTTATTTAATTACTCGTCCAGTGCAACTAAGCAAAATTTTGGTTGTCATTGTAGATACAACAGTCACAACTTCTCCATCAGAAGACGAAGAAGATAATGCTGAGTTTTATGATGCACAAGAATCCGATACTTTTACTTTAAGTATACCTGGTGTCCCAGCGAATAATTCAAGAGATCGAACTGATTCTCAAGGTAGTGATGATGGCTCTAGTTCAGAAGGTGATCAAACGCCTTTACCTTTGTCAGATACAGCTACCACAAACTCCTTTCGTATTGTGACCGATTCTACAGTAGTAACTCCTACCACTGCTGCAAATACTGACAATCTGGACAATGTAAGTAAATTGCTCTTATCAATACATTGTAATTATGTAATTATGTAATTATATAATTAAACTCTAACTACATCAACTTATCATTTTTTTTTTATCCAATCTTGCATTCTGTATTAGACAAATTGGCAATCTAATAATGGCAGCAGTGGCAGCACCGGGGTAACAGATTCTAAACGGAAACGGAGAACTAGGGTACCTGAAAAACCAAATTATCCATTAAATTTATGGAGTATTATGAAAAATTGCATTGGCAAAGATTTGTCAAAAATTCCAATGCCTGTCAATTTTTCTGAGCCGCTTAGTATGCTTCAACGGCTTACAGAAGATTATGAATATGCAGATATTCTTGACAGGTATATTTTATCTCAGTTTTTATTAAATTGTTAAATAAAAAAGGAAAAAAATGTTCATTTTGATTTTTCACAGAGCAGCAGAATGTACAGATGGCTATGAACAAATGGCTTATGTTGCTGCATTTACTATATCTAGTTATTCCACAACTGCTTCCAGAACTGGCAAACCTTTTAATCCTTTATTAGGTGAAACGTATGAATGTGATCGCGTGGATGATTTAGGATGGCGAGCGATTTCAGAACAAGTATCTCATCATCCTCCAATGTTAGCGCAACATTGTGAAGGGCGAAAATGGCGTTGTTGGCAAGAATTTACCATGGCATCTAAATTCCGTGGGAAATATCTACAGGTAGGTTTTATAAGACATTCGTGAAACAACCTCTTGCAATATTGTAAACAAACATGCAATATTTAATCCTATTACGACTCAATAGGTAATACCATTAGGAACTGCTCACCTTGAAATGGAAGGTGGTACACATCACTACACGTGGCGAAAAGTTACTACCACTGTACACAATATTATAGTAGGAAAATTATGGGTTGATCAAAGTGGTGATACAGATATTGTGAACCATAAACAAGGTATCAAGTGCCATTTGAAGTATACGCCCTATTCATACTTTTCGAGAGATAGTCAACGTAAAGTAAAAGGAGTAGTCATGAATTCAAACAATGAAGTTAAGTGGGTAGTACAAGGTACATGGGATTCAAAGATAGAGATTGCTCCTGTTATCAGTACGTCTGGCACGCCAGACAATCCAGTATATAAGACAGGGCCTTACATACTCGCTTGGAAGCGTCGTATGCCACCGTAAGTATTTAATTGAAGTATATTTTATATTAAAAGACAAAATTTATTATATTTTATCCATTTCTACAGTGAAGATAGTGAGAAGTATTACAATTTCACGGAATTAGCATGTCAATTGAATGAGCCTGAGGAAGGTATAGCTCCTACAGATTCTAGATTTAGGCCTGATCAAAAGTTAATGGAAAGTGGTGAATGGGACAAGGCGAATGCAGAAAAACTTCGATTAGAGGAAAAACAAAGAGCTGCTCGGCGTGCACGGGAACACGAAGCTGAAAAAGCTGCCGCTCAAGGTATTGTTAAAAAATATTTTTTAAGTTAATTTAAGGAAAAATTATTTAATGTTTTGGAATATTTTTATAATTGGAGATTTGATTTGTATTAGGTTTACCATATGAAACTTACGAACCTTTATGGTTTAAGAAAGAGCAGGATCCATACACGGACAGTCTGTGTTACGTATATGGTGGTGAATATTGGGAGTGTAAAAGTAAAGGTGATTGGTCACGATGTCCAAACATATTTTAACTTACTATATAATTATATCAATATTGTGACCGCCAATATACAATGCAGAAATGTTTGGATTTGTTTTAAGTGAAAATAGCCAATTTTAGAAATCACTGCTTCTAAAAAAAAAAAAAAAAAAAAAAAATGCTGACATGATATAGTGGGGCTGTTAGAAGATATGGTTTAATTCTTATTTCTTCCAATGGACTGGTCGAAGTTGGCATTGTTACACATGAAACGAGCATTTTTTTAGTATGTCATTATCTCGATTTTCCTATACATCCTTCTCTCTGTTTATATTACTGTTGCATCCCTCCACTTTTCTAAACAACCAAGAACATTATCGTAAATAATCCACATGGCCCAAATAACGCTTTGCATACAATGTTTGTATAGATATAAAAATTTTCTGTATTGTTATTAGGTTTCAATGCTAAGCTAAATGTATCATGATACATTTACGAGAAATCCAGATATGATAAAGCAAATAATTTGCGAAAATTTTGTTAATTCAGTTCATAACTGATATAGCAATAAGATTGATAATTTTTATTACGACAACATTAATATATTAGAAATTAAAACCATAGTTACTGGGAGTTTAAGTTTGAATACGAAAACCCACTTAATACAATTACAGTATTCATAATTTGTTTTAAACAAATTTAGATATATTTAAATCTCTCCTTTTTTAGAAATGGAACTGAATTTTGTAAGTTCTAAGAAACCGATCATAACGGCAATTTTGGAAAATTACCACAACATTCTGATACAAGATTATCATGTATTCATCGCGGAAAGTACTTACATAGACTGTAAAATGTATTTTTGTTGCTTGACGCGATGTTGAGGATATTTAAAAAAATTGAATTGAAAAGAAATTTTTAATAGTATTGCTGAGTAAATTATAAGAAATAATCGCGTTGAACTAAAGCCTTATTGAGTTATTTAAAGTAGATATTAACAGGTGAACACATTTTTACAATATTGGTTATTTACATGTGTGATGCGGCCAGACTGTTCATTCGACTGCCACGTCTTAACCTTTGCACAAAAATTGGATAAGAGGCGGCATTCGTTTACGTTGATACGACAATCTGTAACCGCCATGAAAGAAATGTTCCTGCGGATAAAGTGTTCGTAACAACGAGAGAATCAGTACGTTGAGATTTCATCTCGGCAATTCCGTGCGAAAGCTGTATTTATACTACTTGACATGCGGCGGATATAAGAAAGAAGAAGCAGATAGTATAAATGGGTATGCTTCCAAATTTCTGCATTTTTCCATGCAGACGTAGACTCTTGAATGTTCCACAAAATATTGTCTGGTTATCTAACCAGTCTAATTACTATACACTCCGTCGAGCTAATGTTACAAAACATAATCAATATTATTACGGGAAGAGTGTAAGGAGAATACGAAATCACACCGAAGGGCTCATAAGTTGTAGTAAGTTCTTTTTTTTCCTTTCATTCTTTTTTTTTAAGGGAACGCTTCAACTCAGAGCATTAACACTCATTAAAGTCGAGGTCCTTTTTCCAAGCTACAGTATGTAGACACGCACACATCCATACACAGGTACAAACTGCGCGAATGATTGCGTACGTACGTATGTATGTATGTATGTTTGTTTGTTTGTTTGTTTGTTTGTTTGTTTGTTTGTTTGTATGTATGTAATGTATGTATGCTCGTATGTACATAATAATTAATAAAACCCATTGTATATCCCTCTTATGAGCACATCATACAGTTGTTCCGTTCATAGTATTTGTATATTGACAACTATATATTTCAGTCTGTATAGGACAGCATTAAACGGAACATCTAGCTTGCAACCAATGTCTACAATGATTGTTACAATTAAGTATTTGGCTGTATTATAATTTTAATAGTTGATTATAATCGGATATATCTGTATACATATAAATAAAAATTAACTATAAAAATATATAATTTAAAGAAAATATGATAAGACGAATAGAACAGATGTTTGAATTATGTAGTGCTTGTACATTAGCTATTCGTGTGGAACGATAAATACAAAATGCTTCGCTACAAAAATTGAAAAAATATCTTCGTAGCATTCACATAATTGCCTTTTGGCATCTCCTACGTAACACCCGTTGGTCGCACAAATGGTGCAATTATTTATACGATAAATAACTGTAGTCTTTTGTTCCATCAAACAAATTGTATTGATTTATTGTAACAAATTAAAAACGATCTTGAACGGGTAATACCCATCATTGAATATATTTCATTATTATCCAGTGATTGGTCCATTTACCTATCGTTATTAAAAATCATTTGATATCTTGCGCGCAACAACGGAATACACTGGAATATTGCTCTCTGTCGTTTCAGTTTACTTTATTATACGCGCGTCAAGTTATTAACATCCATGACTCATAAAAAAAAAAAAGAAATCAGTTTTTACAAAGTACCTTGTTACTAAAATTACTTTAAATCAAAATACAAGAAAATGTTTGATCGAAAACGACGAGTTATTTGTTAAAGGATTTTTCTTTCGTTCCGCGTTTCTCTCATCTAGTTCCGTCATTCCGATAAAACGAAGTGTCATCGATTTTATGACGTATGAATGAAATATATACTAAGAATTCGTTGTTTATCGCAATTAAGAAGAGAACAGGCCGGATAGATACGCCGATATTTTCGTTTCTACAGTTTTACCGGATATTCGGTGAATTTAACCGACATGCGCGCGGCGTCGGCAACCGGATGACGTCACGCGTAGTAATACACGCCGAGAGCGCATGGCGAGTGGAGCGTCTGCAGAGGCTGCGCGAAGTGGGAACTGCTTTCGATTGTTGGCGGGCGCCGCCATCTTGGTCAGTGAGCTTGCGAGTGGCTGTACGACGAGGTGTACGTATTTCGGTGAAACGAGTATTTGGTGCGATTTCCCTGAAACCTTTCGTCTACCCGTGAAATCCACAAGCATCCAAGATGTCGGAACGGGAGGACAACGTTTATAAAGCGAAATTGGCTGAGCAAGCGGAGCGCTACGACGGTAAGTACATATTTTCCGAGAAAAGGACCCGGCCTGCGCCAAAATGAAATCCACGAAATCGACCACAAAGCACTGCCACAAAGAGAAAGGAGGTAGCACCGCCCTCGTGACGTGCTCGCCGTACGATTTCATCGGATATGTAACGAGCCTCCTCTGAGAACCGAGAACCTCGAACTGGGATCGTGTCTCATTGGATCTGTCAAAAACCTCGTGAAACGTCAAATATGATTAATCCACACACGGTATTGACCAGATTGCCGGTTCGTAACCGGTGTTTTTTTATTAAAGGGTAGGTTTGCTTTTAGATTCTCTGTCAGGTTCTTTCAGGTTCATCGGAACCTGTCAACGTATAATGCGAGAACGATCCAGAGCCCCTTCGAGGGGATTGGTTGAGAATACATAAAAAAAATGTTTCACTTTTGGGTTATATCATTTCGTCGAAACAAACTAGCTAACATGAAGACAGCGTTGCTAGGCGTGCTGAGTTCGTTACTTTACGGGGTCCCTCGGCAGATAACCAGACAAGTCGGTCCTTCACCGACGTGTATGACGCATAGACACGGCACGATACTTACCAATCGCTGCCGGGTTACTCCTTAGACACGTAGTAACGCGTGCTCTGCTCGTGGCATTTGGCCTTGAAAGCAGAGAGAAATCATTTGGTCGATCGACTGACCGATCTATGGGATCGACGATAACACCCGTGGAAAATTGTCTCGCATTTCCTCGCATACAGCTCTTTTCCTACAATACGCTCTCTAGTGTCTATCATTCCTTATTACGCAGTACACGCCCGTTAGTAATTTCGGTTATAGAAATTTTTACATCTTGCTTCTGGCGAAAGCAACTCGTAGTGGGGTCACGTTCGTGTAGTACGTGGGGGGGAACCGTCAAACCTTTTCGTTTTACAAACCTCTCTCGTTTTGCATTTCTCACTAGATGTATTTTGCGCAGTACCGCTTTGTCTCGTGGGATGTTATCAAGCCTGCAAATCAAGTACACGCGTTTGACATTTTGCGGAAATGCGGTGTATCTTCATGCAAATTTCCTGCAAACATTTTACTCCTTGCCAACTAGTTTTGCTTTAGAGACAAACGTGTGCCTCTGCTCGTGGAGCATTGCAACATTTTTTTGTTAGAACTCCCTCACTAAAGGAAATTGTTCCTATAAATTCGTAAATATAAATTCTTCCTCCATATGTATACATATTCTAAGTTCTATTCTGAACTCATTTCATACATTTCGTTCTACGAAGCTAAAATTTACTTTTACAATTACATTTCATACGCTCGAAAATGACAGGGACGAAGCAATGACGCAGACAAAGGAAGTAGCGCGTTTTCATTCATTCTGTGAAGTTGCTTTTTCATAGTTTCGTCGTTTTCATCGCCGCGTGAACACGTTAATCGAGACAGGCATATTAAAGGGTGGAAATACTGGCATATAGAAGATCCTCGGTTGAAACGGCCGCTAAGCGTGAAGAATGACAGGATAGAAGGGAGAGGAGCTGTTGCGACTCTCCCGGGATGAGGAGAAGGAAGGGCGGTGGGCAAATTTGAGGGTTGTGCGAGAGCAAGACACGAGAGGGGGAGGGGAGAAAAGGACGACGGGCGAGATTACCAGGGGTGGGTGAGAACGGGAAGGGGTGAGATGTGCAGACAGAGTGGGGGAAAAGAGGGGCCATAGCAGAAGGAAAGTATTGATCTGTACTAGCTATCCTACGTTCCGTACACCTCCGTCACCGGGTATACCGTGTTCATAATAATTCTTGCGGCCGGAACCATCATGAACTTGAGCCTGATCTCCTCTCACAAATGTCATTACGAGAAATCTATTGACTTTAACCGAATAGTAACAGAGGATGTACATTAATTTTCTCTGTGCTGAATAGCCAATGAGTTATTTTTCATGAGAGCTCATAGTACTTCAGTGATGATCATTGATCATTATAAGAGCATTCTTTCCTTCCGTGCGAGCAATCTTTCGATGTATTAATCTTTGCAATAAGTAAGGCTTATCGTCGATAGTTCAGATTTATCGTTATAGTTTGGAATTGCACTTATTTTGAAGATAGTATTCCGAAAGCAGAATGTCGTATCCACTATCATCTTTAATCAGTTTCTCGCTTATTGCACGCCCCCGTAACAACTTTTACAGTCAGCTATCGATCCTATCGCAGAACCACAGATTTTAATGTCGCCTAAACATAAGATGCAACAATATGTTCGTGTAACGGAGTTGATATCCGATTTCAACGATAAATCATAATATGGAAAGATGTATCATTAAGTGGATTTGGTTTTTTCTTTTTTTTTTTTTGCAAGCAATAAGATGCAGACGAAGCACATGTATCTAAATCGATATCATTATTCTCGAACATTGTATATCTATAGATAATAAATATATAATACTAACCAACTTCCTCGCAAAGTTCAAGGGGCAGCAGGTTAATATATGTATGTTAGTGCGCCAGTCTCTGCACCTCGCGCAGAGCCTCTCTAACATCCCAGATGAAACTAATAATATATCCACACACAGGGTAGCCACGTATTAATAATCAATAGATCATTTCCGATTCATTACTTTGCCATGATTGCATGTAATATACCTTGGTAAGTTCGATACCTCTATCAAAACATCGAACGTGTACTCTCTTTCATCTCAAATTTTTATCATTTTATCTCCTGAACAAAATTTTGACATTTAAAAGGCTTGAAAAATAAAAACAATTTGTTTACGAAACATCTATATTTAAATATTTCATCCTATCCATTTTAATTGCTTGTATTGTCAATTTATTCTCTATGTTTATTACCATTGAAAATTCTGAAAATTCTCAATTTAATGATACCTTCGTCAACGGCGATGTTCTCGCCGGCCGTGATTTTGCAGAAATGGTCGAGGCGATGAAGAAGGTCGCCTCGCTGGATGTGGAGCTGACCGTCGAGGAAAGGAATCTCCTTTCTGTCGCCTACAAAAATGTTATCGGCGCGAGAAGGGCGTCTTGGAGAATAATTTCTAGTATTGAACAAAAGGAAGAGAACAAAGGCGCCGAGAGAAAGCTGGAGATGATCCGTCAGTACCGATCTCAGGTCGAAAAGGAGCTGAAAGACATCTGCGCCGATATTCTTGGAGTTCTGGACAAACACCTGCTTCCGTGCGCGTCTACTGGCGAATCGAAAGTCTTCTATTATAAAATGTAAGAAAACTTACAACCTTGCGACTAACAGCTCCATTTTTTCTTCGTACTCTTATAAAAGAATATTCTATCTAGTGCTTTTTTTCTTATTTTCCAGGATCTATTGAAACATTCAAAATTTCTCATGCTTTCTACTTTTAAATGACATTTAAATAAAATTTCAAATTGAGTGGAAGAAAATATAGATAGGACGTATTAAGTAAAGGGACTGGAATACTCGAATTATTTTATATATTTAAAGTTACAAATTGTAAAACTATAAGTTCGTAAAATCAAGGAAAGAGTTGTAATAGAATTTTAAGATAGCATACAAGTTTCTGGAGAGCGAGGTAGTTTAAACTGAAAGCTAACAAGCAATACGGAAGAACGTTTCGTTTCGGTCACTAATTTTTGAGGTTTTATCAGTTGTCTAGTTTGATAATTAAGTGATGACTCGATACTTGTTCCTCAAATATGATTTATTAATGAGCTAACGATTTCATTTTTATATCTTAATCACAAGAAATATTTGTGCAGTGTTCTCTTGGAAACCTTTCATTTTATTATTTGAAATTAGCTCGAGAATTTCACGATTCTTCTATATGTGTGATTCACACAAATAATCAGTATGCATGTTATGCATTTATATCGCAACTCGTTAGATTTGATGTTACAATGAATATTAATACCGTGTATTTATGCCAGACATGAATGAAAGTCTAACAAGAGAAATTCCTAATATATTGAGGTTGAGACACTTTTATAAAGTCATAATTTTCTAAGAAATTATACTCTATATCTTGTTATTCTAGTATCAAATTCTAACTGAAGATTAGCGTAATATACATTTATATAAATTTATATTTTACACATGTATAGAAAAATTACAAGAAATAAACTTACAATGGGTTATGGTATTGATAATTAATTGCCAATACACTGAATGTTATAACCGTAACAAATGATCTCTTGTGGTTTTCATTAAATCTACTGACTAAGTTCAAATTCTGATTTGTAATTATAGGAAAGGTGATTACCACCGCTATCTTGCCGAGTTTGCCGTCGGCAACGATAGGAAGGAAGCTGCGGAAAACTCTCTGGTTGCTTACAAAGCAGCGAGCGACACCGCTATGACAGACTTACCACCGACTCATCCCATCCGCTTAGGATTGGCGCTCAACTTCTCCGTGTTCTATTATGAGATCCTCAATAGCCCCGACAGAGCATGCCGTCTTGCGAAAGCAGCCTTTGACGACGCGATCGCGGAACTAGACACCTTGTCCGAGGAGAGTTACAAAGATTCTACCCTCATCATGCAACTTCTCAGGGACAATCTTACTCTTTGGACGTCGGATATGCAAGGAGACGGTTAGTATACTTTTTTCGTGAAAAACACCCCTCGTTGTGTTTAAAATTCATCGCTACTACCACAACTGTAGAAGCGTCGTCGCACGATCAATAATATGTATTGCAGCAGCGCGATAATATCTTCTTGTTATATTAGATTTTTTTCATAAAGGAACAGACTCGCGTGGGAAGAGTAGGGTCATTAATTATTCAATAGGATTCATATTTTATGCAGAATGATATAAAAGTAATGTAATTGGAAGTTTCCATCATTTGAGATGAAGAAAGATACGAAACGATAATCTTTAAGCACCAAATCTTATGTTATTCAATTAAATTATTGAAATCACTTGAGTATAAATGGAATGATCAGTCTGTGATTTAGAATTCGAGGCTGATCGCGAAAACGAGGCTGCAGCCGTTTCCACCAATGTTTGAACTCAGGCACACCTTATCCAATACGCCCTTGCATTGTAAAGTCACCTGGTGAGCAATTTGACCAATCCTTCTCCTTTTTTTCTATCCTTTTCTCCTGAAGCATTTAGATCCATGATTCAGTAGGGTCAAAATTTTCACCCAATTTTTGATTACAAATTGAATTGATCGTATTTTACCTATTGCACAAGCGGTATTTTATCATGGCCGAAAAATAAAACGTTTTGTTAATGAATTTCTTTTTTTATGTTGAACAGGGGAGGGCGAACAAAAGGAGCAGTTGCAAGATGTGGAAGATCAGGACGTATCGTAACTCTAACTGTAGTGAGTGTTATCTTGCGCATATAAAACTGAAAACACAAGAAAACAAAAAACTCTTAATAACTTGTAAGCAAAAGAAAACAATTCAGCAGGTGGCAGTTCGGGGTGGGAAGGGGAGATCTTTAGCGATTGCGTGGCCCTAAGCACGCACGTACGGTTACTCCAAAAAAAAAAAGAAAAAAAGAAAAAACAGAAACGAAAAAAATCATTTGAATTAACATACATATTGAATTAAGAAGCGCGCAGAAAAGTAACAAAATAAAAAAAAGGACATACACTCTGCGGTAAATAGAAAGACTGCAAGAGCATTTAGAGAGGCACTATTCTTTGCCTTTTTTTGCGTATCGAGAAGTTTAAAAAATGCTGTCTTTTTCAGTGGACGATGTCGAGAGCGTTGAGTTGACGCCGACTGGCAAAGCGCGTATATATATATATATATAATACATATATATGTGTGTGTATGTATATTCATCCATATTACTAAAAAAACACAGAGGACAAGAACACGAAATGAAAGGAATAAAAAGCAAAAAGAATATGCGCTAAACCCAGTCGGAGTAAACTCTCGTTTCTGTTGGTTTTAGTGAGTGAGAACGAATAGCATTATCCTCAACCCATAACGTTTCATTAATAACGAAACACGTTAGTGGCTCGACGTCTATTGAAGTGCATATTGTGTTCGTTTGTTTTCACCCACCCCCAATCTCCTCCTCCTCGTCCTCTTCCCCGCTTTTTTACTGCGCGCATCATTACTCTCGCATACTATGATAAATAACGATATTATTAATGTATGCGTGTAAATCGAATGTAAATCATCTGTTTATCTAAAGGGATAAACGCGTCTCCTCCAGAGTTGGAGTTACGTGGTTGATCGACGGTTGGCTAAAAAAACAGTCAAGATACAACCACGTGCCTTCATCTCTGCTTTCTGTATAAGATATTATGAATGTACTTCCGGCGAAGTGTCCCGATTTACAAAGCAAGTAATTTCATACACCATATAGGTTTCGAGCATGGGTTCTCGTGTAGTCACTTGTAAACATGATTCAAGAACACACGCTTACCGCGAAAGCGTCGTACTTAACAAACGAAATGCAATAACATCAGTCTGTCTTAAGTCTGGCTTTCGCAGTATCAAATTTTATGTTAAAATCGAAGACGAGAAATTCTTTTAACTGTGAGTGAAAAACAAAACAAAAAAAAAAAAAAATACACATTATTCTCGACGTGACAAATGTTCTTTCATACTCCTCAATCAATCGTACTCCTCCGCGACAAAAGAAGCACTCTTATTGTTGAGAGGAGAGTCGAAAAAAGAAAGAAATCGTAATAGGTGCGTTTTCAACACAAAGAAGAAGAAGAAGAAAAAAAAGGGCAAATTACGTTTCACAGACAGAAAATAGCAGAAAACAAGTAGCTATCTAGTTAGTCTGTAATCGTGGTTGTACTTTTTCATACGCCCCCTCTGTAAACTATAACGATCGCTGTGGTATAACAAATTACAGAATAAACGATTGTATCCCGACTCGTTCTTCACTCGCGCTCACTTTTGCTATTATCACTGTCCTCGATTCCACTGTATCTTAGTTGATCTTAACCTTTTTATCGATGAACCATTCCGTCGATTTTCGCTTACAAGAAAAAAAAAATATATATATATATAAAAAGGAAAACATCACTCGAGAAACATTCCAATGAGACACGTTAGATAGACTTGGTTCATTAGTCTTTACGCGAAAAATTCGTTTGCGCATCTTAACCCGAGGTAAGCTTAGCGATTAGTAGAATTATTTGTTTGTTGAGGCAGATAGTGTCGATTGAAAATTTATGTCGTAAAACGATCCTTTAAGTACAATGTTTCTGTGTTCAAGGATACTATTGTTTTGCCTGATGATTAAAACATGTGTAAAGTTGCAACAAATAAATCGTAACAAATAAGTTTCCGTCACTCTATTACACGTAGAAAGACAAATTTCGAATTCGTGCAGTTTTCTCTCGCAATCGCAACTTGTCGAGAACATTCGGTAAAACCGTGTAAGCGTGCAGCAAAAAAGCGAGGTGTATGCTTGAGAAAGAATACAGGAGAAACAACCCGTGAAGGAGAAACGCGCAAAATGAAAAAGAAATCGAGAGCTCTGCCTAGAAATTTTTTGGTGTACATCGTGCCCCTGTATTTAGGTATTAATTACACGATACAAATTGATAATCATGTTATAAAATAACGTTACAAAGAATAACTCAAAGTAATATCAACGGCACCGTAAGTATATGCGAGTAATCTTAAGATCGTAAAATTAGGGTATCGAGAAGGAAATAAAAAAAAAAAAATCAAGAATTTAATCGACGTGAATCGTTCAAGCGATAATGTGGAGAGAAACGGAAAGTCTAGGGCGTATCGTGGAATAAAAAGTAAAAGAAAAAAAAAGAAAACATCATCCCCGGATGCAGTTTTGATAATCGCGTGAAGGACATGCCGTAGAAGGCGACGGAGTCGTAAGAACGGAAGAATGAAGAACAGTGGAGAAACAGAGAAAACATCGGTATCATCGGATAAGAATTGCATATAATATATATTATATATATATATATATATATAGTTTACGTAAAATATACGTAATACGTGCATAACATACCACGCGTACGAGCGACAAATCTTTGAATGAAAAGTAAAAAAAGAAAAATAAGGAAAGAACAGAAAAAGAGAAACAAAATTTTAAGGTACAATAAAGAAAGCTTCTCAGTGGCAACGAATGTGACATAAATTGAATAATTCCAAACGACGATAAACTGTGAGATACCTCATCCAATTACTTGCTTACACGATGGATTGAAAACAAGATGAAGTAGCCCAACGATAACATTATTATTATCGCCGACGATGTAGCGTGTGATTCATAATGAAGTGGATAAAAAAAAGAAAAAACAAAACGTAAATGTAGAGTGTTCTCGGTTAAAGTAAAATTGTAGGTAGGCATCGATACCATCTGGGTTTCACTGTAAGATTATTAAGGAAGAATAATAGGTGATCGGTGTATTGAGACCGCTTTTATCCTTTATTCACTATCGTTGTGCGTGCTTAGTCAATTTTTATAAAAAAAAAAAAAAAAAAAAAAAAAAAAAAAAGGAANAAAAAAAAAAAAAAAGAAAAAAAGGAACATGAAAGAAAGAAGGTAAAAAGAAATAACACACTCCACCATTACGCATCTGTTGTTCCATCTCTCTAGATGTAATATATTTGCTCTTGTCTCTGTATTTTAAACATTAGTTGTGTATATCTTTCTATTGCAATTATCCTCGGATCATTCCATCTTGTCGCTAACCCAATTCACGAGAGCGAATAATTAGACCTGGATATCGAAATTTATCGTCATTTGGAGAAGACAAAAAAAAAATCTGTCGTTTCTTTTTTCGAATTCGTATGCGTTCTCACGCTCTGTACTATTACTACTACTAACTATTACTACAATCAATGCGATTACACCGGATACGACCTTTTTCTGTAAAACCACACACACACGTGAAAGCTACAAATAAAGTAATTACAACTCTCTAATCGTTTCTTCGGATCTTTATTAGTATACATTATTAAACATCTACATACGTCAGCGATTATAATTAAATATAAAATATTGTTCGTATCGCGCCGTGTCATTGGTTCGCAGTGAGTCACCTAAAACCAGAGCAATTCTAATGAACCTGTTGTCACAGAATTTAATTTAATATATTAGAAAAAAATAAAAACAAATGCCGATAGCAATTAGAGGACATGTATTATTTCAGGGTGTGAGATACGATTACCTTCATTGTACTCTGTACAACACAAGTATTTTGTTTTCTATACATTAAGTTACAATTCTGCAAAAGAACATTCGTCGTATTTCTATTGAAAGAAAAAAAAAAAAAAAAATTATATCTTGGATGACCCGATTACATTTGTCTTGTATCGATTACAGAATAACTTGATTCGTTAAAATTGTACACACGTCTTCTATATATTGATTGTATAAAATTTCTTAAATCTGCGATCATTTCAAATTGTAATACGCTTATGCAATCATCGATTGTGATCTATCATCCTCTATGTTCTGCGACTGATCTCTTCCGATAATGTTCTCACGAAAACTTGAACTAGACAACAGACATCGTGGCTGTTTATTAACATCCACCTGCTTCAGGATTCGTCTCAGTGAATTATCCGTGCTCTTCATGATCGGCGACAAGCTGAGGCTCGGTGCTGTTCGTGTTTTGAGTATTCGTCCGCTCCTCGGAGACCTGGTGATTTGATCGGTCGATCTGCGCCTGGCAGACTTCAGTTTTACACTACGTAGCATGTCTAAGGAAACCACCGGTCCCTTCGGTCCTGGTATAGTGTTTCTTCTATTCTCCTGAAATTGAAATTTACTTTTTGTGTGATATTTTAATTTTGCTAAATGTATCTCGTTTAATTGGATGTCTTCGCATAATTTCTGGGGAATATAATTGCGAGAGAGAGTTTCTCGAAAAAAAGAAAATTCTTGATTTATTTTTCAGACATGGAAAAATCATCTCGGGATTTTTAAATAACCCTTCCCCTCTCCCCAAGTGTCCGGTTGAGTGGCAACGAGGATCAAAGAACCAATTAACCAAACGGAGAATTGCGCCGATTTAACGCCTGGCTGGACTCTGCTGAAGTATTTGAAACACTTCAGCAAACTCTCAAGTAAACGTGCGTAACTTCTTTCGAATTTCAAGCAACAAGAAGCCACGAAGTTAAACGTATGATACAAACGACGAAAGATGAAGAGGAGCAGCAATTTTTTTTCACCGACAACTTGAGCGAAGCTTCCAACTGAAAGCCGACCAATCCCTCGAACTATAGCAAGGTTTAACTTCGAAAGGACAGAGTTCTCCACGCCACTTGTTCATATACTCCAATTAACGGAGCGGCGCGTAACAATCCTCGGATTTACCTTAACGTTCTGCGGTGCTTTTTTTAGGGTCACCTTCAGCAAATCCTCGACGGTTATAGCCGGCCTATTAAACAGTGGTGTCGAGCACTTTCTCGAGGGCGTTCTGATGCTTTTGCCGCTGCTGTTCGGTGTGGTTGGTGTAATCAGCTGCGCCGGAGACTGCGTTGACAGCAGTGGAGGAGCTAATGGAGGTAGCGGCGGCGGAGGCGGCGGAGGAGGCGGAGGAGGCGGAGGAGGTGGAGGAGGTGGTGGAGGTGGAGGAGGAACAGCCGATGAATTGGATGATAGTGAAATTGGTGGTGAAGGGGGTGACAATTTCTTTGGAGATTTCAATCTCATATTCTCCAACGATTGGTGTAATCTTTGCAGTTCTTTCATCAACGTTTCGTTACTTTCGGTCAGCTTCTTCGTGACGTTTTGTATGTCCCTGACCTCTGCGGTTAAAGCATCGATGGCGGTTACGTTGCTTACACGCACCTGCGATAAAAACAGTTGTTAATTAGGCTTATTTAATACACGGCTGACGTGGGATGCGGAGAATTGTAAATGAAGGAAAGATATTTATGTCACGATTATGTACATATATACAGATTCGTTTCGTTTTTTTATGAACGTACAAACGTTCCTCTCTTGTTGCTTTTGACCTTTTATGACGACGACGTTTTTTTTTCCCCTTGCATCGACGTAAATTTGAAGTATAAATTGCTTTCATAACACAGTGGACAACGTACTACCTGAGTAATTTGCTCAGATAAACGAGTGACTTTCTCCAGCAATATGTTAATCGTCTGTTCATTCTCTGAGCGTAACGTTATCACAACTTGACTGAGCTCCTCCATTTGCCGATTCACTGACGTTGAAGCAGTTCGCGTGAGGTTTGCGTAACTCTGAAACAATCGTCACTTTGATAGCAAACGCGGATCGTTCCTTAGATAAGTACCTACTTCTTTTAGTACAGCCGTCACTCTTTTTATTATCCAGGCACAGAACAGAACGATTTTAGACACAGGCTTCTTGACAGATTGAAGTCTTTGGAAACTTTTGTTCATTTGAACGCTATTACCTATGGACTGCAAGTAATAATTTACGTTACAATCATATTCTTATCATTTTTATACATATAAATAATAACATAATTCATGAAAATGTTCCAAATAACAAGTACCATCGATATTTAATTTTAATACATTTTTATATAAATATTACGTGTATTATGCGATTACTAAAATATAGAAATAAAAAAAAAATTACTTCTTTCAGACATGCGCTGTAGCTATCAGAATTTGATACAGCTGGATGATTTAAAGTCGAAGTGATAGACGATTCAGAGCTGCCTGCGCTCCAAGACGTTTTTGTTATCATCGTATTTGGATAAAAATAATTTTGAACATTTTTCTCTTCTGCTGGTAATAAATCAATAATTTTAACGGAAGCAACAGGTTCCTGTGGCCTCTCTACGTCCTCTTCATCGTCAAATTTGAGCATAGTCCGGCATTTTTTGGCAGGCGGTGGAGAACCACTGCAGGAAGTAATCGAACGAGTTCTAATCCTCGTCGTATCACCCTTTATTTCCCTGTAATCTCGTATATTATCGATCTTGCCCGTTTCATCTACGAAATGACACTTGCTCGTTAGCTCATTCGAATTTTCCTCTCGAGTCAACGAAGACAATGTATTAGAAGAAAGCGAATTTGTTTGCAGCATTCTTGTTTCGTCGCATTTTTTGTATTTGGGTAAAAGATTCCCGAAGAATTCCTGATTTCCCGTCCGAATCTTAAAGCTGTTCAATTGTCGTAAATTTGAAAGAATTTGCCTACACTCAGTCCAGTTAGTAAATTGATTTCCAGTGCCTGAATCCTGCAGATTTTTCTCGTTCACTATTTCAAACCTCGTGCCGTTCAGCAGGTCTTGACCGTTCCATTTTTCTTCATATTGATCTATAGACTTGCACGCAGTCGTTTGAAATTTGTTCGGAAAATTATGGAGTTCATTCTGAGGCTTTAATTTCGAATTGCAAGTAGCAAATTGCGTTGCTGGTTCTAAAGTGTAGCCATAACGAAGCTCAGTATCGCAAGCATAATCATCGAATCTAGTCTTTGAGAAAGATCTTCCCTCCCGCAAAGACTGGCAGTCATTCATTTCTAATTTTATTTCGTCGTTCATTGACAAAGTCTTCTCTAATGAAAAGCATTTTTCCGCAGGCTTGTCGATATTTTGCTTGAACAAATTTTTCGTCTGTTTTATTTCGATCAATTCTGGTTCCTTTTCTTTGGTACTCTCTTCTTCCTCTTTCTTGTCCGATTCATTTAGATCTAATCTCATTCGGCGAAGTTTGGGTACAATTTCTGGACTTAGATCGTCGTAGCATGACAAATCAGGTTCCCTAAGTTCAAAGAGTACAGATTCCGGAGATCTTTGATGCAAAAGTTGTTCAGTGGATCTCGACATTCTTTTAAGTGGAGTACATTTAATTCTCACGCAATCGACCTCGTCAGAAGTATCTGATTTTTGCAATAAACTTTCTTGGGATTGGTCCAGGGACTGCTTGAGTCGAGATCGTTTGTACATTTTTCTCTTGACCATCGTGATTTCCTTTTAAATTTCTGCTTGATGTTCATGAGTGTTTAGTCAAGGAGATATCAACATTTTGAAAATAAATTCTTTAAAGACACTTTTCAATACAATGAGAATCACGTGTTTTTAAACTAGTTTCATCAATCTGTCGAACCTGTCGTATGGTACAAACGAAACTGTTCTATTTATTCGATATACGGATGACATTGTACTAAAGGTTGTCTATTAATATTTGTTTTGATTCTAATAGAGAGAATAATATACTAGGGAAATTTTCCTAATAATATACTTTTCTAAATTACTATGATTTATGGTATTGATTTCATAAAATAGGAAAAAGTAAAAACGAGTATAATTGTTTTTTGTTCAAAGAAAATTTATTTTCAAATTTCATATTTTGAAATTCCAGTTCGTTCAAAACGAGGCCAATATTTCCTTCTAAATAGTAAAATCTTCATCATCTTGAATTTACTGTTACTTTATTATATCAGTTGTAAATGAATTTTATTGTCTACAATACATACATCTACTGATTGGTAAAGGATCCACCTTTTTCTTCATTTAAATGTTCCTTTTTCGCGTACAACGCGATCAGTTAATTATATAGTTTCATTCATCAATTACTGGAGACAATCGAATTTTATTTGACAATGTCAAATTTATTTTACTTTATTTGTGTAATATTGACAACGTTCACTTCCTGTTTGCAAAATCTTCACCCTTTTGAATGTTCTTCTTCAGTTCTGGAATTGCCGCATCCAACAGTTTCTTTTCATATTCGCTAAGTTTGCTGATACCAAGGTTCTTCTCGAGTCCGTTTTTCTGAAATTTGATAGAATATAATATTTCGAAAGATTGAACACACTAAATATTTAAATGTATTGGCATTTATTGATTATACTTACACCAAGGACACACGGTGTTGCAAAGTACTTTGTCTCGCAAACGTCTGATTTGACGAAAGTACATTCTATGATACCCTGTTCTCCGTTAAGCGCTCTAAGTACAGATATGCCAAATCGAGCGCCAGCATAGGCCATTGAAAGCGTTGCAGAACCCGTGCCAGCTTTGGCTTTAACGACCTCTGTACCAGCTTCCTGGATTCTAGTGGTCAGAGCCTTTAATTTGTCTTCTGGGAAAGAAACAGCAGGTTTGCTTTGTGAAATTAATGGAATAATTGTCACGCCACTGTGTCCACCAATAACTGGTACATTGACTTTTTGTGGATCAAGGCCCTGAAAACAATAATTGACATTATATATTAAACCGTGGATGTTTATGCAAATTTATTTGTAAACAATTGATATATTTGTATTAAATATAATGAATATTCTATTAAATATAATGAATATTCTATTTTAAATTTACAATTCAAATATAAATTCAGAAATTATTTACTATTATATGTTTTACAAACTTTGGCTTCTGCTATAAAGGTGTTTGCTCTGACAACATCGAGAGTTGTTACACCAAATACTCTCTTGGGATCATAAACGCCAGCTTTTTTCAATACTTCACTGGCGATAGGCACAGTGCTGTTCACTGGATTAGAAATAATGGCAATGATAGCTTTCGGGGCTACTTCAGCTATAGCCTTGGTGAGATCTCTCACTATGGAGGCATTTGTATCAAAAAGATCATCTCTGGTCATTCCTGGTTTACGAGGAACACCAGCAGGAATGATTACTAACTACAAAAACATTACACAATGAATTTTTTTAATTCTCTTTGTATTATATATTTTAAACAAACTTAATAACGTAAATACCTGTGCTCCTTTGACAGAGTCTTTCAGTTCATCTGGACCAGTGTATCCTTTTACTTTTGCTGCTGTATTTATGTGCGATATATCAGCAGCGACACCTGGTGTGTTCACAATATCGTACAATGATAACTCGGTTATAAGAGGCGAATCTTTCAGAAGTAACGATAATGGTTGTCCTATGCCTCCGCTTGCTCCCAAAACAGCGACCTTGTGGTTGCACTGAAACGAAATATCCCGGAAAAAATTAGGAAGACAAACATAAAGTATATTTGTATATTTCCATACACATTCATGGAATTCTTTTGTGACCGAAATTTCATATTAGAATCTGCATACTGTTAAAGACACTGTTACATATTAAAAATAAAGTGATATTCGATCGAGTTTAAATTGCTTGTCACAATTGCATAACTGTGCTTCACGTGTATTTCAAATATGCCACACAGAGTACTTCAATATGATCGATAAGCCTCTTTATAATCCTAAGTTCGATAAGGAATTAAACGAATGATAGAGATAAAACAGAGTAGGCTAGTTGGCAGATACGATATTTAATGGAAACATATTTGACAAAACTTACTCTTGCGCTGGTGGATAATCGTTTTGCTCCTTGTTGAGCAACACTTAACACAGGCTTCAGATATTGTGGCAGCATGTTCCTTAGGATTCTGTGATCACGAATGTGACTGATTCCAACTTTCACACTAACTTTCGATAACCTTTCAAAGACACCCCAATGACCTTAATAATACTTGTTTCTCTCACCAGTGTCGTAACACGCATACGAGCATGCGTCTTTTGGGCAGACAATTTACGCAAGTCTGCGACCATCTGTGAATATTTGCGCGGAAAATTTTGAACGCATAATTATGAATTTTACCTCTTTCCAAACGAGGCCGATCAGTGCCTTATTTTCTGAAATAGGACATTTCTGATCTTTTGTTTTGTTATACACGTATCAAAATATTGTTTTATTATTTTCGCGTATCTTTGCAAACTCTTGGAAATTCATTGTTAGAAAGACGAAAAATAAATTAATTTAGAAATACTGATCAGTTAGGAATAAAATAAATTAATTAAGGAACAATTATATATCATTTATATTTCACGCCCGAATACACTTGAAAAATTGAACGTACTTGCATCTTCTAGAATATTTGTTATTTGTTAGTAGTAGTAGCAGCTTGATTCTCATGAATGTGGCTGTACACATTAGTTAAGCAATTATTATTCGAAATTTCAATTTCTAAAGTTTAATGATAAAAGAAAAACGCGATAAATAGATGAAAAGATGTTTTTAAGAGACTAAATTTATGTTTATACTAAATAATTACATTACAATTTATGTTCAAAATGTCAAATGGTACGTTGAGGTTATTTATGAATGAAAATGTTTTAATTCTTTTTCCCATCAAAACTACTTTATTTAAGTTAACAAATTATTTCAAAAATTTTATTTTCTGTAAATGTAATTATTTGATTTATTTCAGAAATAGAAACAAGTCTATTAATAATTGTATTAGACGTAAATCCAGTGCAAAGGATTATAAAACAGGAAACAAGGATATTGACGCAATGCTTGGATTCGACTATCGTTTTTGCCAATGCACATTTAATGCAATCTTCTAACAATCAACTTGCTGTCATAGCATGTCACAGTGATGGGGCAAAGTTTTTATATCCTTGTGAAAAACCAGTAGAAATTAGACAAATTGACGGGCAATATGAAAAATTTACAATGGTGGAACGTACTGTAAGACAACAACTGCAACAAGTTATCAATGAAATTTCCTTGGACAAACCATTAAATGGAGAAAGTCTTATATCAGGAGCATTGACCATGGCATTATGTTATGTTGCTAGGTTAGAAAGAGAAAAGATTGCTGGTGAGAAAATATATTCAAGAATCCTTGTAATCACAGCAAGTAATGATTCAGCAACACAATATATGAATTACATGAACATATTCTTCACTGCCCAAAAAATGGTTTGTTATATAATGTTTTGTATTTTAATATTTATATGATTTAAATTTAAATTTTGTTTTTTTTTTTTAACAAATAGGGAATAATATTGGATGTATGCAGTTTAGACCAAGAATTAACTTTACTCCAGCAAGGCTGTGATATTACTGGTGGGAATTATTTAAAAGTGCCCCAACTTAGTGGATTGTTACAGTATTTATTGGTAAAAAGATAAGGAATAATTTAATTATTCATTAGTAAATATTTTATTTATTTATAATTACTTTTTAGTGGATATTTTTACCAGATCCAAATGTTAGATCAAAGTTAGTACTCCCGCCACCTGTGAAAGTAGATTATAGAGCAGCATGCTTTTGTCACCAAGAATTGATTGATATTGGCTATGTATGCTCCATATGTTTATCAAGTAAGACAAATTAAGAAATAAAATTTATTCTATTATTTTTATATAAACCTGTGTAAAATAATAAATGAATATATTTTTCAGTATTTTGTAAATTTAGTCCAATATGCACAACTTGCCAGTAAGTATTATAGTAATGTTTTAATTTGGCATAATTGTTTTAATTCATACTTTTCATTTCTTTCTTACAGCACAGTGTTCAAAATGCCAGGACCTATTCCTATAAAAATGAAAAAAAAGAAAAAGACTATAGATATAGTACATTAATTGTATTTAGAAATAATGATTCTTTATATAAATACATCTATTTTCTTATCACATTACATTTTATTCACTAAAGAAGAAGAAAAAAAAACATGATGTTCAATGTTACAATCCTTTATTATAATATACTTTATCTATATATTCTTTCACACATTTCTTAAACTCTTCATACTCAGATGGACGCAACTTCATCAAATTTGGATTCATGGAGCTTAACGATTAAAATGTATTATTGTATATTTTTCGATACGAATAAAATATAAAATTGCTTACTTTCGTTCGGGAAAAATTGCAAAAGCAGATGGAATTGCAATCATGCAGCTATAAATATTAAATTGCATTTAATAAGAAACAATTCAAATGGGAGAGCAATGAAATCAAAATTAAAAAATTACCCTATAGCACATAAACAAGCTTCGAATGGAATTAATATCCGCGGTCGATGTTGATGCAAACAATAAGGCATAAATTTATGAGTTATTATAGGAATGAAAAGTAAGCATGGTATGGACATAGCTATTCTTGAAATCAAACATTCGCAAATGCCTTTTGTAGCTGCTACTTTAGATTTCATAAAAGAATGTGTTTCATCCTTCATATATATCGGAATTCCTGTTGTGATTTCTTTATAACGCATAAGTGGTAAATTTATCATATGACCTGTAGCCACTGCGCAAAATGGCAAACACCTCTGATGGCAGAAAAGTATAAGACGAAATATAATATAAAATGTTGTAAAAAGTATAAAAAGTCAATGAAAAACTAACATTAAAAATAAGTGCTTTTCCGGAGAGTATTTTCTTACAACAAAAAGTCACAATGGAGCCTGTTATAACAGCACATAAAAGAGCGTTTTTCATTTTTGTATCATCATTATTTCGTGTACTTCTGTATATGTCATTTATAATAGCATTATGCATTTGATGTAATATTTGAAATGCCATTATAGCAGGAAAATTTCTAATAATAGCATATATAATAATTACTAGGGAAATTGTTTGTCTAAAAGATATTTTTAAGATGGAAATTCTTTTAGACATACTTTTGAAATGCTAACATCGACGCTGTAAGCATGACTGAAGTAGGTAATTGAAAAGACAATCTAGAAAATCGGTGTATTAATTCACCAGTCTCAGAATCAAATGCACCATCTCTAAGTTGTTTTGCACGAATAACATGAGATAGTTGTACTCCAGAAGGTACAAAGCCTCTTCTAACAAAAGTTAGTTACTTGAAATATTAGAGTAATTGAGCAATTAGAATTTACCTACTTATAATTATCACAGAATTGTTTAGCTTCTTTCAATTTTTGGTCGTTTACAAAAATCATACGATAATCAGTAATAAAAGCAAAATGTTTCAATCTACCAATATACGTAGATTGATCCCATAATGGCTTATCAATATCAAATTTTTCATTGGTGTTCATCGCTATATTACAAATTTAAGTATTCTCCAGTCGATTTTTTTATATTATTGATCATAAATTCACATTTGTTAATTGGTTATTAACTATTTCTGTTTACATTTCATATTTCTTATTATTATTCATTTTGTTTTGTACTTGGATTTTTATTAGTTTTGGATCATAAAAATATGATAACTGTAAAGAATGTTTTACGAAGAAAATGAATATTATAAAATTAATGAAATTATCATTCTTGTATAGTGAGTGAAGTTAACTGGAAGTGATTGCGTTTATATATTGTTAATATTTTAATAACATAGAAATATTAGAAACACAGAAATTTCTTCTGCTTGATAAAATTGGAATGGAACTATAAATTATGGTATTTGCTTTTTTACGATATTGCACTTTTTATTTTTTCTAAAAATTTATAATGTGCGTTTTACATAGGCCAAAGCAACGACCTGTAAAGAAGCTATTCAACGATGGGAAGAGAAAATAGGTTTAACTGCTAGTGGACAGAAAGAAATCATTTTGTCTTTTCAGTGGCCTCCAATTGAGAAAATGGATAATAATTTAGCAGCACTTACTGCTGTCGAGTCAGTTAAATATTTTTTATAAAAATATTGTAAGCAATAATTTTTATCATTTTCTAGGAAATTATCTCTCTCAACAAATATGATAGAGAAGATCAGTGGTATTAATTCATTAAAAAATTTAAAAATTCTATCTTTGGGTCGCAACAATATTAAAACTTTTTCCGGATTGGAAGCAGTTGGAGAACATTTGGAACAATTATGGATATCATATAATCAAATAGAAAAAATTAAAGGCGTGAATGTATTGAAGGCGCTGAAAGTGCTTTACATGTCGAATAATTTGGTAAAAGACTGGGCAGAGTTTAATCGTTTACAAGAAATACCACTTCTTGAAGATTTATTGTTTATTAATAATCCTATTTGTGAAAATATGGACGTGGAATCTTGGCGCAGTCAAGTAACTAGAAGACTTCCAAAATTAAAGAAACTTGACGCTATACCGGTCGTATGACTATTTCATCTCTTTATCTATTACATGGAATGACAATAGAAATTTGAATTTCGATAAAAAATTTTGCAATAAAATTGCAAAATATATATTTACACAGTGTAGTGTACATTTATAATACATTTTCTTTTCACGGATATAATACATCATATTGACATTATTGATATTGTCTTATTTCGTAAATCTTCGCAATAAACAATTAATAGTCTTCGACTTTCATATCGTTCAACCCGAGTTCTTCATTTTGATCAAAGTTTCTTTCATATTTAGTGATTTTTAAACCGTTATCTAAACCTTCGTCTGAAAGACTTTGAATATAACTGTTGCCTGCTGGATCATCTAATATAAGAGTGATCCTTCGTTTTTCCTCAAAAACCTCATTTAAGTGAGATATGAAGACTTCCATCCGTTTGACAGTTTCTGGATCGCTACTATCACCGCTGAAAGCTGTCGATGATGACAATTGCTCTTTTATTGCTACCAAAATGCCTTCTACTGTAGTAAAACGTCCACCTAAGGCAGCGGGACCAATTTCTAACTCCAATTCGGGTATTTGCATATGGCAAGTTTCGGATTTCAACAAATCGCGGCTGAAATCTTCTTTTCCTGCAACTATTACTTCTATCTTCACTCCCATAGGTTCGATACCTCCTCCGCTCTTAACTTCATTCGTTCTATGTCCACAAGACTCGCAAACTGTTGCCATAATTACAACTTCCTTAAAGTGTGGAATTTCTATATATTGAGTTAAGGATGAATCTTTTTTACTAAAAAAAATATATATATATTATGATACTAAGAGTAATATGAGGATAAACAAAAGGATACTGGTTAATTTCATGTTGGTTTCACATGGGCAATTACACTCTGGACAATTTGTTCTGAAAGAAAGTACTTCTCCTTCAATTTGCTCTAGAGTATATTCTCCTTCTTGTATAGGTTTCAACAAAGTATCATCTGTATTCTCAGAGTAAATCCCTAAAATATGATCTTGCTCTGTCATTCTTCTAAATTGGACTGTAATACATCTGTCATCCTTCAATGGTGCTTTTAAATTTTCTACATGGCATTCCCCCGATATATCTTCGAATATCATAGTGAAAGGTTCTGCTAAAGATTTCAGCCTTCTTAGCTTCTCAAGAAACTGATCAATTTGTGTTGCAGCATCTGGATATTTTTTTCTCCTTTCAGATTGATCCTGCTCTAATCCATTAATAGTTCTTTCTATAATTCCCTCAATTGTTGTAATCTCTCCTCTCTGTGATCTAGATGGAATCTCAAAATCCAAGGATGGAATTTTTACACTCGTGTAATCCGATTTAACTACTTGACGATTTAGATCTCTAGGAGATTTAATTTGCAACGTTATTCTAATTCCTTTCTCTGCAATCTTTCCACTATTTTGTATCTCATTATTCTGGAATCCACAGTGTTCACAATCGAAGGACATCACCACAATATCTTTGTAATGTGGAATCTTTGTTAGAAGTAATCTAGTAACGCCCTGTATTTACAAAATAGTACATTGGTTACGTCAGGTGATAAATACTTTGTTTATAATTGTAAACTTGTAATAGCATACATTTTTCTCACAATTCATACAGAGACTCTCTATCTCTGTGGTTTCCGGCTCTGGATCATCGGCCGTCAAATCACGAAATATTGGTTTTGTTTTTTCTTCGGTAATTTGACTTCGATCTTCTGCCATTTCTTGGTTATATAGAATTTATACACTATTTACATGAAAAATCTATTTTAGGTAAAATTAAATTGGATTATCAATATATAATGGTCAGTGTTCTTGCGTTCTTTTTTATTGTGCGTATTTTTACCTGCTAAATACAAATTTGTAAGCACAAATTACTACTCCTTAAATCTTTAGAAAACATAGTGTTCAAAATAAATTAACACATGTAAATTATGTGTTTAGTTTGATCTAGAATGAACCACCAAATGAACAAATATAGCCAACTAAAGCCACGAAATCACTAAAATATTGAAATGTACGTATGTACGTAAAGTAATGTATGTAATTATAAAGTTATTTTACAGATTGTTCTTACAATTGCAGTAATTACGCGAATAATAATACTTATATAAGAAATTCATAATAATTTAAAACGAAAATCATTATCCTCTACATAAAGTACTATGCAATTTTTACTGAAAATATCTGATTCAATATACGATAAATTACTTCAAATTTTAAAGCAGTATTACTTTTGATAGTATTTTTGATAGTAAATCATCTTTTTATTTAAAATGCACCCAGAGGAAATGTCTCGAGCAACTTCACGTGTATTATTTTGAATGCATTTAAATTGGTGCAATTAAATAGCGGCTTTGACACTTTGAGCAACAATTTTACAATTTATCAAGACAATGCAAATAATCTCTAGTTTCTTTCGAGATTGCTCGTTCAAATTCATTAGCTCTTAACAAAATAAAGTACGAAATTGCGACTCTTAACAACGGTTTGTCCGCTCGAGTATTGCATACGTGTTAAAATAATATTGTAACTTGTGTTATCGCGAAATGTAGCAGAGATACGTTACGAGTCGTCGGATATTTGAAACGCGTATATTATTTTAATACTCAAGATATTTAATTCGCACGCAGCGTTACATCGTTGCTGTACGGTAATTCGAATTCCCATGGTGAAATACAAAAAGATGTACATAGAAAGAAGTCGCTGAAGCGTTTCCGAAGACTAGGGAAAAATTTGGAAGTTAAAGCATTCTCAGTTGAGTGGCGCGAATCGCCGGTTGAAAGTACAATGGCTAGGCATAGCCAATGGCCGCCGTTTATGAGCGTATCGTGTCGGCTCGGCTTCTGCTGATCGATGCATTACTACGTATTTCTCAACTGTGCTAGCTCGCATTCGGCTCGATCACGTGCGTTTCTAATTCTTGATCGACGATATGTCAACTCGCCAGTCGAAAAAGGAAAAGGTGTGTTCATTATGTTGCATGTCGCTCCTGTCTTCTCCGGTCGTGGTCACGTCTCTTGGTCTGTTACGCGATTGGTACACCTAGCATACGTGAAAACAGTGTTCTTTGGACGAGGAGAGATCGCGGGTACGCGCGCGCTTCGTAGAAAGAACGAGTCGGAGTTTCTGTATTTACGAGCGTGAGAGAGAGAGACGGACGGTCAGACAGATAGATAGACAGAGAGAAGTGGAAAGAGGGCGACGATGACGGAGATAGGAGAGAAAAGAAAGAAGGGAGAGTAAAGAGAGTACGGGGAAACAACCCCGGTAGCCGAGACACCGAAGGGTGTAGCGTGATATTCTGATTTCTCGATATCCGTTTCGCTGCCACATTTTCCCTGAGCGAACGTTCCAATAACCTGACAATGGTACTTCGAGCTGATTTTCGTTTCCGTTCCGTATGACATCGCAAGTGCGAACTCTTGCCTGTTTGCGGGCCGCGTCTCGAATGTGAATTGGTGCTGTCGTGGCATTTGCACGGTGATACAAGGGGTGCAATTAACTTGTTTTGTTCCAGGATGCGACGAAACTCGGCAAGGACAAGGGAAAGAATGGCAAGGATGGCGAGACTAGTGACGAGGTGAGGTTATATCGTCCTTCTATGTTCCTTCCTATTGATGTGACTCGTTCCGACTCGGATCGACTTCTGCCAGTGTCGATTCTCCCTGTCGTGGTCTTTTTCTTTTCATTTCTGTACACGTCAATGATTCGTTTGTCAAAGTCGTCGAACGTCTAATGTGTCGTATGAGTTCCCTGACAGACTTCATTCAACATTTATCCCCCGAAAGAGACTTAGTATCCATTTTCGACATCATGTGCCACTTGAAATGTTTTTCTTCGTCGAGTCTCATGTGTACGCGCATGTACTCTGAAATACACATTCCTCTATCTGGTGTAATTACTTGGTTTTGTTTTTCCGATCTGGCTTGTGTTATAACGAATACCGTTTCTAAAACGGTTTTAAAGTTCTGATTGAAAAAAATGTTGCCTGGCACAGGTGGCGCTTGAGCGTGGATCTTAGTTGATAAATAGAAAACCATGTAAACGAAAGATGCATTACGAATTAGCCGATACTTCTTTTGGTATTTGTTTCTTTGTCACTTTTGCTACACGCGACCGTGTTCAGCTTTTTCAGCTCGAATAATTCGCAATTTCAAAGATAATCGGAGTAATGCGAATTATTTTCTAACGTACTTCCTAGACGTAATTGCGATATGAATGAAGCGAATTCCAAGAATGGAATTAACGCGCAATTAAATATGTTAATTAACTGTAGAGGCTGCTGCCTTAATTGTTGTATAGCGAATCATTTCTAGCTTGCGGTTTTTAACGTTATATTTACATAATTTTTATGTTATTTACTGGGTTGGCATATTCAATCAGTCTTTTTGCAAAGTTGCAATTTTTTAAATTTATTGAAAGATGTATGTAAGTTACAAAATTTACGGTTAATACGACAAAATTGAGCTCACGTGATTTGTAATAAATGATATATATAAGTACATTACGCATTAAAATAAAATATTTATATGAACATTGCATAATGCTTAAGAAACTATAGTATGTTACACTGTATCTATTCGATTATCGATTGCTCATAACGTAAAAATGTATAGTCGATTAATTATTAATTGGTGGTATGAAAATGCAAACAGTTATATCATGTTTAATTTATAATTTTGCTCTGTGTATTCAATATAATTTTATTAAATTATATTATAATATGTCGCAATTTATGTTCCATGATTAATAATCTTTGTTGCAATAACAATAATTATTTATCATTTAAGGCACATAAATTGCTATAGATGTATCCTTAATGCTGTTATTTATTTGATGTTATTAAATTTCTTTCAAATTTTTATACTTTAGTGCATTTTTAGTTTTTTCCTTACATGACTAAAAGCAAAATAGCAATTTTCAAATTTATATGTGCATGTATCTTCAAGAATATTCAATCAATCACAAAAATATTTAAGAGAGAACAAAAAAATTTATTATAACGTGTTGACAGCTATTATAGAAGTGACAAAAATCAAAATTCATCTTACACAGCCAAGAGGGAATATATTTATGCCTAATTGTTATGGGATACACTTCCTCAAGGACTACCACCATCGACTAGGTTCCACAAGAAGAAGTTTTGTGATTGGTGTTGAAGTCATTCTTGCATCTCTATTTCAATTTTTTCATTTTACATTAGTAGACCTGAAACATTAATAAAAGTGTTACTATGTACTATATAATTGTCCAAAACTCATTCACAAGTAACTATCATCTTTTTTGGCCACTAGAGGATAATCTAAATGGACATCAACTCAGGCGAAGAGTCAAGCCCAATAGTGCATAAATGGTTTCAAGATCAACCACAAAACTTCTTTCGAGGAAGCCAGGCATTAATGCAACGTTGGAAGAATTTTGTTGAATGTAATGAGGATTACACACAGATTGACATATACATTTGCTTTTAGAGAATAATTTTTGTTTATCATTCCTGAATTATATACAATGGAGTATGAATAAACTATTTTCTGGTTAGCAATTTCTTTATAAAATATCAAAACTTTTCAGAGAACATAATACTGTCTGATAAGTGTTATAAAAGATATGTAAGTCACTTATTTCTACTTAAGATATGTAATGCATTTATTTCTACTTAAAGTTGTTTCATTGTTGAGATATATAGATCAAATGTACATTCAAACAAGGAATTTTGTCTTTTGATAGTCCAAACCACTTGTTTCACACATGTAATTTTTATTCACACATTGCATCAGCAATTTCACGTTGTACTTTACGACTCTTAATAAATATTTATATAAAAGAATCTTTAACTTTAAGCATTTATTGTTATAGAATTTGTTTCTCGTATTTCATAGGCGAATAAGATAGCAGGAGGACCACCGGCTACCGCTGCACCACCACCACCAACGTTGATTAACAAAATCAAATACCAACCCGGGGGCCCTGTGATTAAGAAAGACAAACGGCAAAGTAGCTCAAGATTTAACATATCGAAAAATCGCGAGCTTCAGAAGTTGCCGCTCCTATCCGGTAAGTTTCTGAAATAAATATTGTTCTAAAAGATAAAGCCTTCAGTAAGAAAGTTTCTAGCTATTTATAGAATACTACTATGTGTACTTAGTGTAACAGTAAAAGTAATATCTTCTAGATACATCGTAAAAATATTAGTTTTTTAATAATTACCATAATGTGCTTGATCTTTGGAACGACTTCCATTAGTCGCAAAACTGACTTTTGATGGAACAGTTTCTGTAGAAATTTCACCATGCGATAAATTCATCAAGACCTGTCAGTGTCTTCAATATTCTCTGAGCGAGTAATTCTGCTTTCTTCAATAATTATTGCCACATAATGATTGATTACTATAATAGTTCATCAGAGTAGGAGCGATAAACTTTATCATTATTATCCTTGCTAGGAATAAACCGCAATATACTTAATGAACGTATCGAGCGTATATTGAACTGTATGTTAACTAAAATTAATTGTGCTCTAATGCAAGTTAAATCGAAGTGTTTCGTCGTCTTCGGCATTCAAATCCTTGAATACTCGCTGAAACATGAAAAAATAATTGGATGAGAAAAGATGCCAGAGTGATTAACATTAATATTGCCATTCCAATTTAAAATTTCACAGTGCATTGTACGCGCCTGATGAGATTTAAGAGCGAAGAGGGTTTTAAAACTTTTCGTGAAAGATGATGACTTTGATATAAAGGTGGTGATTTAGAAATACACATCGCGAAATGTAGAGTTGACCTACATCTTCAATTCAAAAAAGATTTTGTGGCGCGTAATTAGAATATCTTGACTTAGAATAATAATTTAAACGAATAATTTAAACGAAAGGGAAATTTAATTGCGAGAGAAAGAAATGAAATGTTAAGAAGTTAAAAAGTTTGAAAGGTATCAAATATTTTTTGATTACTATTAAATAAACAGGGAATTTTATTCATGGAACAGAAATCCGTAGGTAAAATGGTCTATAGACGGCAGCATTTAAATGATCGATGTATCGATCAGAAATCTACAAAGGCTTCCGCTTACTCGATGCATTTTAAACTTGATATATGGATTCAAATACTAATCTTATGCTATCTTAACAGTGAACGCTCCTCAGAATTAAATTCACTTTCATTCATGAAAACCATATCAATAACGTATATGCATATCATGCATTATTGTGTCATAGAAATAAACATTACAGTATCAAATGCCGCTGTACGTTTTTTCAATTGGCTGTTTTAAAAATTAGTCTATTTCTGCATTTACATTTCAAACTTGATATGTTTTTCGTTTTGTATAAAAAAAGACAATTAATTAATTACTTTTGCTTTTTTAATCCCGGTCGCATAGGATTGCGAAAGTAGCTACGTCAGAACGTATCGATTGTAAGGCGCGGTGGTTCACGCATGCGCGCACGCGTCATTCGTGATTCCTACTTTTCTAACGTAAACAGTCCTTTCTCGTTCAAACGGTTTTTGATACCAGCAGCATTTTCTCCATTCGGATCCGCAACGCGTGTCTCTCATCCGATCGCACTGCGTCTATTAAAAACCGAGAAGTTAGTTGACGGATACGTTTACGAAATCCTCGTGCATTAGTATCGACTTGTAGAGATCGAGATGTGACTTGTTCTTGCACGAAAGAACGGTCAGTTACGTCGAAGCAACAGATTGTTATGTGAACAAGGAAACCGGTGCGTACAGGGATGTAATTTACCGTAAACTGAGCCCAGGGAGAAGGAGATACGTTCTGGCGACGGATATCAGACTTGTTAGACCATTCTCGGACAATAAGATGGTTCATGTGGACGGATATATCCCTTTTTCAACTGGTGGCCTGCCGAAAAGCCCGAGTTTTCACCAAGGGCTCGCCTTGGCTACTGTTTTGTCTCGAGAATCGAATAAACCTTACTTGACCAACTTCACCTCGCATTATCAACCGTTACGACCCCTATTAATTGGTAATGAAACCTCTGACGTTTGCTTCTTGTTTCGATTCTCACAATTTTTTAAATGTACCGAGTATTTAGAGAAAATGCCTGACAGACAGAAAAAGATATAGGTTATATGAAACGAGGTGAGATGCATGTATGTATGAGAGGGGGCGGGGGGAAGAGAGAGAGAGAGAGAGAGAGAGAGAGAGAGAGAGAGAGAGAGAGAGAGAGAGAGAGAGAGAGAGAGAGAGTGCACGGAAGAGTCCAACAGAGACGGATAGAATCTATGAAAGAATCTGCAAGGAGGAGGAAATTATCAATGAAAAACATAATAAATAAATTGACAAGACGGGAATACGAAATTGCGAAAAATTCGAGGCGAGTAACAATCGATCTGAGAGGAAATTTCATAAGAGCGTTTAAGAGGATAAGAGAAAATATTTGGGGGGGGGGGATAGGTGGAAAAGGTGGGAGTTCATTGAGCGGAAGAATGAAAATCTATGCAAGAATGTGAGAGAAAGGGGAATGTACTGCGAGGGAAAGTTCAAGATAGCAAAAGTGTAAAAGGGAGGTATAACTAGGATAAGAAATGGTCCGTGAGACAGAATCCACGAACGGTGTGAATCATAGGTGTTCACAGATTTGTTTATATGAAAGAGGGAGAGGAATTTATAGGGAGAAAAAAGATAAAGACTCCAAGAGAGAGTTTGCAGAATTGTTCGAGGTATGCGTGTATGTAAGTTCTGTAGAGTGTACGCATGTGTGTACATATCGTCAAAGGGGGAAAACGTAAGGTCCATGTGAGTACGTAAAGTCACAGCAATCTGAATCGTGTTCTTTATGTAGCAGTGAATCTATCCAATCCTTCAAATTCATTAGATAATTTAACATTCGTATTTTTTCTTTTTTTTTTTTTTTTTTTTACTTCAGAAACGCAACAAGGAAACGAGAGGGAAGAACTATTCATCCAGAAACTACGACAATGTTGCGTGTTGTTCGACTTCGAGGCCGATCCTCTTTCGGATCTGAAATGGAAAGAGGTGAAGCGTACTGCTCTCAACGAAATGGTCGAATATGTTACCAAGAACAAAAATGTGATCACAGAGGCCATTTACCCTGAAGCGGTGAACATGGTGAGCATGACCTAATGAAAGAGTCCACTATTAACAGAATGTTTCATGCGATTGCACACAGAATGAATATACAATAGGATATTTAGGATAGGTATTATTAAGATACATTAGTCGTATGAGAGGTTTCTAACTTGAAATTCGACATTTTCCAGTTTGCAGTGAATCTGTTTCGCACTCTTCCACCATCATCGAATCCAAACGGAGCAGAATTCGATCCGGAAGAGGATGAGCCAACGTTGGAAGCAGCATGGCCTCACTTGCAACTAGTTTATGAATTCTTCTTACGATTACTCGAGTCTCAGGATTTCCAGCCCTCCATTGCTAGACGTTATATAGACCAGAAGTTCGTGTTGCAACTTTTGGAGCTATTCGACTCGGAGGATCCACGGGAAAGAGATTTCCTAAAAACGACGCTTCATAGAATTTATGGGAAGTTTTTGGGACTCAGAGCATATATCAGGAAACAAATAAATAATGTTTTTTATCGATTTATATATGAAACCGAACACCATAATGGTATTGCTGAACTTCTTGAGATATTGGGAAGGTAACTTTGAACTTTTCATTGTAAATGATAAAGCTTGTTTACTCTTTCTTATTCTTCCAATGTGATGTAATTAATGGGTTATTACTCTTACTTATTCCAGTATAATTAATGGCTTTGCACTACCATTAAAAGAAGAACATAAAATTTTTCTATTAAAGGTACTTTTACCTTTACACAAAGCCAAATCGCTCTCTGTGTATCATCCGCAATTAGCGTATTGCGTAGTTCAGTTCCTGGAAAAAGATCCATCATTGACTGAACCCGTTATTAGAAGTCTGCTGAAATTTTGGCCGAAAACACATTCTCCTAAGGAAGTGATGTTTCTGAATGAGCTCGAAGAGATTCTCGATGTGATCGAGCCCGCAGAATTTCAAAAAGTCATGGACCCATTATTTAGACAATTAGCAAAATGTGTATCATCTCCACACTTTCAGGTATTATTAATTTTCTTTTTTTTTTACATTTGACATCAGATTATATGAATTAAAATTTTTTAAGATATTTTATTATGTTTTTATCAGGTGGCTGAAAGAGCTTTATATTACTGGAACAACGAATACATAATGTCTCTCATATCAGACAATTATGCAGTTATTTTGCCAATCATGTATCCAGCATTCTACAGAAATTCCCGAAATCATTGGAACAAAACTATTCACGGCTTGATTTACAATGCGTTGAAGCTCTTTATGGAGATGAATCAGAAAGTATTTGATGAGTGTACTCAACAGTATTATCAGGTATGTTTTTCATTATCACGAAATAAGGACGAGTAATGTTAATTGAAATATACGTAGGATCGACAGAGAGAAAGGAAGCTTATGAAAGACAGAGATGAAGCTTGGATGCGCGTTGAAGCTTTAGCGATGAGACATCCGAATTACAACGCGACTATAAAAGGTGTTACGAACACAACAATTGGAACGATATTGCAGCAACAATTAGACAGCCCTCCACCTGATGAAGACGGCGATACAGATCAAACTCCGCTTACGTTGGAAAAAATAGAAGCGAAAGCGAATGAGGTATGATGGATTGGGATCGATTTTTCTCTCGTCCTTGTTCATTTGTTCATTAAGGAGTCTAAAATAAATCTTTCTTTGCAATAGGCAAAAAAAATGACCAACTCCAATAAAACAAAGCCACTTTTGCGAAGGAAAAGCGACTTACCCCAAGACACGTATACAATGCGGGCATTGTCCGATCACAAACGCGCAGACGAATATCTCGTTACGCCACCGGATCCTAACAATTGCTAGTCTCTACCACAATCTCTTCCCATATATCCTCTCTTTTGCTGCAGTGATTTTGGGAGTTAGCTTTTTCGAAGAGAGAAACGAAACAGCGATGAGTCGAATCTAACTAATCGAGCTGTCATCATAGTCGACAACAACCGTCTGCGACAGAGTTTGATCGTATAGAGAAGCCAACAATCGTAATTATCTCTTTCCTATTTCCTTATCCGCCCCTCTTATATCAAAAAGTATCGAGAGATGTGTATGGTAATATCTTTTTCTTTGTATCTCGGTAAACCAAAAAAAAAAGAAGCTTTCTCTCATTGCACCTAGCACATTCGGAAAATGTATCCATGTCCGTAGTAATCTATAAGAGAGAAAAAGATAACTTCCTATATACTCTTCGAGTTGATTTACACACGGTATCGCGGGAATTATGAAAATACTTCATACTCGCTACCAAAAAGAATAGAAAAAGAATCACGGGATGTAGAAGAAACCTAGCGAATAAGGGTCCTAAGTGTATCAAGTAATACATGGAATATTTTATAAATTGTAGATTTCTTGCGTATGGAGAAATCTATCGCTGACAATAAGACAGTTTTTTCACAATTCATAAGTACGCTTTCACATTTTTAAATTGTCTGTGCTCGATGTTCAATAAATGTACGACATACAGGTCAGATCGTACATGAAGTTAATACACCAGTAACGATTTATTTATCAAGGTCTGTTTGTAATTGTTTTAAAACATGTTGTCTTGCTTTTGGCGGCGGATTTTCTTCATATTATAGGAATTTATGGTTTATTGAACATCATTTATACAGGGTAAATCACGACGAGTGGACAAGATTGTACAAATTGATTCTGGGAATGATTTTGAATAGAGTTTATCTTGGAACATCGTAGTTTAAAAGATAAAATATTTTATTTATATTTTTAGGAAAAAGTTACTTATGAAACGTAAATCTTCCTAAATGAGAAAATGAGAAAATAATCGTGTCTATCTGATTAGATACTCGTTTATATTGAAACACGTCCAAATTTTAATAATATTTTTGCATGATATCTCATTCAAAATCCCCCCCTAAATTAATTGATAAATTTATGTTCACCTGTGGTGATATACATCTGTATATATACCCTAAATAAGCAAAAAGATTTTATACAAATCCAAAAAAGAGTCAGAAAAAAGATGGCCGCGAGTTTGATGTAATAATTAATAACTATAAAAAAGAAAAAGGGAAATTTTAGTATGCAAGTTTGAGGCGTTACTCTTCTGAGCGAGGTTTCCACTGACGCGCAAACGACAGACATTTAATAACACACAAGTGATATATAGTTGCTTTAATGCTACCAGCTCGTAACTTAGCGGCAAATAATAACAATAATTATAAAAAAAAAAGAAGGAAAAACGTAAAAATTGCAAAAAAGAAGTGAAAACGTCGTTTTAGAGTTAGATCAACGTGATAGCACTATTTTAGAATATCGATTGTTATAAATCTGAGTATTCCTGAATGTAATACTTTTATATCTGTCGTGCCTAGATGCCTGTGGAATGCATTCGCAAGAATCGCCTCTGCCAGAGGCCTATAATTAAGAATCGTTAAATAAAAGAAAATAATAATAAAATAATAATAATAATAATAATAAAAAATGAAATAATAAGCAACGAGTTATACGTGACGTTATTGGTGTAATTGCATCACAAATTTTTTCAAGAACGCTTACACGAACGTTACGTCGTTGCATCGTCAGTTTTGTGGTAAAAAAAAAACGAAAAAAAAAAAAAAAAAAAAGAAAACGTTATATACTAGTTCGTCGCTGGCAAGAGAAGCAAAGAAAAAGAAGAATGAAAAGAATAGAAACAAATTTAGGAATCGGTGTGTAGAAAACTAGGGTGTGGTGAGATATGCCCTCGGTATCTACACCAAGGCTTTCTTTTCGGCCGATTCCTCCTGTTACTCCAATTTATTGGATATAGAGATTCCGATACCACGCAAATCACGCAACAAAACAGCGATCCAAGCGATAATATCTTTAGTCTTTGCGCTGCTGGCAGGCTGTTGTGTTTAAACATTGTAAGGGATGAACTTGTTGAGAATAGTAATACGATTAGCACTTATTATTAAATAACAAAAATTAAAACCAAATGAGATGAATATAAATAAAAGAAAAAAAAATTATTTACTATTTAATCATCCCTTCAGGAGGAGAATGACCGTTTTTGTTACGGAAAAGCATTAAATGATAAGTATTCTCGTCGATACTTTTTATTATCAAGTGCAGTGTAATCTCGATGAATCTCATTGGAAAACACACTGTATCTTGCGTATTTGATAATAAAAGTATTTTTAGTAAAACAATTTCATTTGAATAGGTTTGATTTTTCAATGATACTCCTTTAAATAAATCAAGTCGCGTTCATTCGATGTAACATCGATTTCGATTTCTTTCTTTTATTTTTCCTTTTTTTTCCATTAACTTTCTTTTCTCCGTTAATTCCGTAAACCAACGTGGATTATCGGGATTACATTGTATTTTTCTATCGTTGAAGTCAATCGAAAACAAAAATAAATAGATAATAATGTTTGGGAGAAGCATTTCTCTGATAATGCATGTTTCGAGGTTTCGTCTCTTACTGCGTCTATTCTTTCACTCATTGTATCATCTATGATACATCTTTGAAGTTTACGGATTTTATAGTAGAATCAGAAGATAATTCGGATTTCTCGTGCTTAAATATGAAAGAAGACTGTTACTGACTCATCGTTGGTCGAGTATTATCGAATTCTTCTGAAAACTTCCGTTTCCGCAATTGTGCCACGCTTAAATTATATAAACAGGAGAGAGAGAGAGAGAGAGAGAAGAAAAAGAATGAGAGAGAGAGAAAGAGAAAATGAAATTTGATTTCATTCGATGTAGATCGTTCTCTTGTAACTCCTGCGCGAAGTTACCTCGAGTGAGTTTAAAAGTTCATTTTCAGCAATGTTTTATACGTTTTTTATGATAAGAAAGTCAGCCAACAATCGAGTATTTTGTAGGTAGAAAGAGAAACAACTTATTATGCGAAAGAACCGATTTAAAAATGTTTTATGTAAGGAGGAGCAAGGATTTTCTGAATTAGAGAATGGAGTATCACACTACCGTAGGCAGCTTTCGAGTCTTGTAGAAATGTCTCTGTTCTTCCTTACGTAAAGTTCTACGAATCTTTCTGAGAGAATTATTATTCGGCGGAGAATAAAAAAAAAAAAAAAGAAAGAAAGGAAAGAAAGAAACATTGGTAAAGAATGAAAAGACGTACAGTGACTCGCTTCAAACCTAGAGATATGAACCTACGGTGGAACACGTACAGAACTGTGTATCAATGTTCGATTAACAAAATTTTTTTAATGATCGCCTGTCCGATCGATTCGATTCCATGCATGCATATATTCCTTTACAATTTGTTGGAGCATAATTTTATAATAAATAAATCATTATAATGAAACAATGGGACAACCTCTTTCTTTCAATCATGATTTCTAAAATCCATCTGTAATTCCGGAAATTTTTTGCTTTCCAGTAAAACTCGTTTTCCGCAGAAAGACTTTAAAACTGGAGACGGATCATAACTAACGCGTTATCAACTGCAGTTACGCGGCATCTTGAACGTTGCACTAAGACCTGCTGTTGCAGTTTTGTTCCATTTTCACTAGTACATGTTAGTAGAAATCGTACAAATCGAAAGGCTCTGTACACCAAGCAATTTCAAATTTCAATTCATGTGACTTTTTTAGCAGCTTTGGACACTGAGAATATTTCTACAATCCAGCTTACGCTTACGAATAATATCCGAAGGCCTTTGAAAGTATAAAAGAATAAATAAAATACATACGTGGCAACAGTATCCGGTTCGTATACAAGGTCTACTCTTATATTCGATCCTTGAAAGAGAAAAAAATTAATTTTGTTTTTTACTTTTTAGATATGTACGTACATTCAGCCACTACAATCGAAGCGTATCAGTTTTACATACTTGCTTGTTTGCTTTTCGCATAATCGATATTCATCGATTTATGTCTTTTTATTCTTATATTTTTTCCGTACCTTCGTTAGAACATCCTATACACTAAAGATACATCTGAAAATTCAATAGAAATTTTTTACTTTCTTAATCTATTTTTTTTTACTTTTTAAACAGGGTTAATTAATAAGGTTATTTTAAATAGGATTAGAATTATTTTTTGACGAAACGCGTTTAGTTAGAGACTTATTTGTCTCCTTGTGTTGCATGCGTACTTTTCCATATACTTGCTAATTTGAAAAAAAATTCCACGTTGCAAACTTCACTTCAAATTTTCCTTTTACTTATTACTAGTAATCCCAGCGTCGAATAATTAACAAAGACAATTAACATCGACGTGGAAAGGACATGTCTTTCGGGTATTACCGAACGTTGTTCCACTCGATGCCGGTTCGTTTGCCTCCTTTTCGATTTAGTTGACCGCCAACGTGCCAGTGACTCCTAGCATTCAACAGGTATCTATACAATCGATGTGTGTTTGTGTTCCGTGGTATTCCCCATGGCGGCGTTGTGTTGGTATCAGTGATCTGCGCTTCCCTCGAAGAGACGCTTGCGCCGGTAAAGCAGACTCTCTCCGCGTTCCGTGGCTGTGCGTTATTAGTACGCCGCCGGCCGTCGAACGTGTATGATCTTTTCACTCGTCGTTTCACCAGTCGAACCGTGTTATTTTTGTTTACGCGACCGGTTTTTTCTATGAAACTCGACTTGAAATCAAGCGAGCGACGCGTACTGCTCTTGCTCGCGCGTGTATATCGTACGTGATATTGGCGACGAGCGGCTCGCGGAATTCTCGATCTCGTTCGCAGTTCGATAGCTATCGATACGATTCGATAGATTCGTTAAACCGTCAGTCGAGCACACGCAGAACGTGCGGATTTTCGGAGCTTGATAGTTCGCGTCGGGATGTGCTTGAACTAGTTTGAGGAAGTCGGTCGCGTTCGTCGATTACCTCGCGAATTATAGCTTGTCAATTCGACGTCGTGAAAGCTAACAGCGGAGTCATGTGACGGAGAAAGTGCGTCGTTATTTGGGACATGTTTTTCGGTGATTCGGCACACAGTGAGTTCTACGCATCGGGAATGGTACGCGTCATATAGAAACGATAGAGACATTTCTTGGAAGAGAAATCGTGTCGCGACTCGCCTCGACCGTACGTGTGTGTATACAAATTTATCGAGGAGCGACGAAGTTTGCCAAGCGAGAGTGACCTTTCACGATGTTTAAAAGTTGCATCGGTAACGCGTAGTAGACGTACAGGTACGTTGTTTCTTTCGCCATTTTTTCCATTTCTTTTGCTTAACCTGTCGAGTTCCCGCGTTTACAGCATCCCCTCCACCCCCTACTCTAGGGTTGAATCGGTTATTAAGTTGTCTCTTCTTCCTCTTGGCGTCACTTTCGTCAAGTGTAGACAGGTTTACGCATGCGTGCGAAAAAACGGTTTGAAAGTTAAAAGTAAACTGATTGGTCGACACCGCGGTTCGTTACTCCAAAAGATACAAGTGTGCTAGTTATTTTTATACGAACAGATATAGATAGATTGTACAGATGTTAGCGTACGCTTAGTCAAGTTATTTCTGACAAAGTCATTTTTTGGCGGAAATTAGCGTATTCGCGTATTTTCGATTTTGACTCTTCAATTCGTCAATTCGTCAATTCCGACATTACTAAGTTTTACATTTGATCTTGTCGTTGATCTAGTCGACCTTCTTTTTAAATTCGGACGAGATAAGATAAGATAAAGATGCAAAAGTATTGTTTCGTTCATTATTGTTTCTACAAAATCAACGTATTAACAATTCTTTGCCACGTGGAGCATCAATTATTCATCAACGCGGCGATTGCACGCTTTTTCTCAGCGATGTTACAAAATATATTTCGCGAGAAGGATCGGGCAGATGTTTGCAAAAAGGATCGGTATTTTAAACGCGGGAGTTTCTTGTACGTAGCATTCGCGATACCTTGAGAACTGATTCTCGTTAATTATCGCGGAGTTTAAAGGACGGGCGCGAAGAGACTCTGCGGAGAAAAGAGAGAGAGAGAGAGAAAACGTAGTAATTCAAAAGTTCCGTGATTAATGAAGTAATTCGTTCCGAGTAAGAAGTTGTATTTCATTTCGTCTGACTTTCGCTCTTTTGAAATAATCTCCCCGAGGAAACGAGGAATTATGGAAATCCGGGCAGGGGGATGATTCTCAGACAAATGTCAAAATCTAACGGAAACCGCGTAAAGGGGATTTGTTCGCACGGTTCAAAAGGAGCCATTTAAAAACGTTCGTGTTAACACAGAGTTTTTCTCGATTTCGACAGAAAAACGTTTGCCACTTGCTAGAATCTGAATTCTTAATCCGAGCAGGAATAATCGTCAGTTATCAACAATAGTAGATAAAATAAAATTAAACAAGTTGCAGGGAATTAAATTCATTTTTTTGTTCTTTTTCTTCAATTCGAGATAACACGACAATGGTCAATAAAATTCAAAGAAATAAATACACAAGTTGCAAGTTTCATGGTTACATATAGAGGATTAAATCCCTTGTTTTCTTTCACAAAGATATTTTTTTTTTCAACTCGAAACTTCCAGCCAGCAACAATTATCGCGAGCAAGCAATTCGACTGGCACGATTCTTTCCGAAACAGCAAATGAAATGGAAACGAAAATAGAACGGGCACGCATGTTTCATGCTACGTAGCATTACAGCGAGTTCAATTCCTTCTTTTCGCGTGGCGATAGAAAGATATAAAACGGGGCGAAATATAATTCGAATCTCAAGCACACTAGGCAGCGTTTAAAAGAAAAAAAAGAAAGAAAGAAACGTATCGTTATTAAATTGTATCTCTGACCGTTCGGTAATTTCGTACGTTTTGAGAACGAAGGCAGAGTTGAGTTCGATTCGCGAAGGTTTCTAGATTACGAAACAAAAGTACCATTCCCGAGGAAGTTGCCGGCACGTGCGACCCGATAATAGTCGAGGGGCGAACAGTGAAGGAAGCAGGAAAGTGAAAAAACGAAAGTGCGAAACTGCAATGTGCAAGAAAAAAGGTGAGCGTGCTGCTGTCAGTAAGAAGAACGCAAGAGAAACACGGCAACGATGACGGAAGGCGGGCCGAACATAAGCGTGAGTAACAGATACATAATCTCACTTGACTTCACTTAAGTATTGGTATTCTAGTGTGTGGTGCGTGTTTTTTTTAACTTTGTTAGGGAATTTTTTGCAAAGAAACTATTATACCTCTTGCAGTCAAATTGACAAGGTTCGTTTGTACGTATTTCAACGACGTTTTAAAATATTTTGGGACAGAAGAAAAGTTAAAATTAGTGGCGTTGCATACTCTCAAACATAGTCGCTTTTAAAAAAAGTCGTCTCGACGGTGTCCATGATTCCGGCCATTCCGCTTGTCGGAAATAAAAAAAACGCGAATGTTCCTTAATTAAAGCATAAGTTTGGCTATAGCAGGTGCCAAAACAAAAGAAAAAAGTCGGTAATTAAAAAAGTGGCAATACTTTGAAGTTCGATTATCGATTTCTCCATGTTTTTGTTAGACTTCGGATGCCTAAGAAAAAATATAAAAAATGAAATTTTTTGATTGATTCTGGTTATAGTCACACATGTACTAAATGCGTACTTAAAATTTTGAGCCAATTAGTCGAGTAGATTTTGAGATATCATGGACACCGTTCTGAAAAACATAGTTTCCAAAAAAATGCCTTTAAAGTTTAGTATTGCGATATTAATGACGCTTGTGTGTCGCGTCCTTCAAACAACCATAACTTTGTTAATTTGAGGAGTTCACATGTAAAGTTACAGAGATTTATTTTTGAAACTGTGTCCTCTAAGAATATGCAAAGAAAAAAGAAAAATTGATTTTTTCAAAAGTTCACACTAGAATACCCCCTTAATTTCATACGCTATAGACCGTGTCATGATTTCAAACGCAATTGCCGAAGATTACCAATATCCTCTTATTCATTTTCGACGTATTTCGTCAAACGATCTTGCACAACGATTTGGTAACTCACAACTATTGTAAAGCAATAATTTTTGACATCGCTTTGAGTACACGCGAGTTAAGGAAAGTTTGAGTTACACAATCTAGCGAAGTTGTAATAATTTCATTTCGTTTCGCTGTCGGATTTTTTTATTACTTGATGAACGAGTGAAGAATCAAATTACTAGCGTGCAGTTCAAACTTTCGTTGTATATTGTTATCACATTATCGTCGTTAATTTAATCACTCGGAAATCGTTCCCTTGGAAATCGCTGAATAAACCAAAGTAGTGTCTACTTTAGTATGTACATGCAAGAATTTTCGGTTTGCGGCTAAACTAGTTAATGTTTAATCCCTAGTCGTTGTTAACGTCATTGCACAATTTATAACTTCTGACTTGTGCAGTCTCGCGAATAATAGAAAATACGCCATAACGTTCCTCTATAATATATATCTTTTCATAAAATTCTTTATTATAACATAATGTGATATAGTACATAACATAACAACGAATAATAATGTAATGGTGGCAATATTACTGCAACATTTTAAAATTTATCACAGTAAATAATGAAGGAGGAACCTACAGCTAACGAAACAAACAGGGCATCGTTCTCTGCCTTTATTTTCCTATCTGAACAATTCCGCTGAAATCTTTCCTTTCTTCGCGTTTCTACTCTTTTGCTAAGTCTTCGCTTATGGGTTCCGCCTGTAAGGTCGTTCTTTTTCTGGCTTTTCCCTTTTGTGCGTTTCCTCTTTCTTTTGTCGAATCCTCCTTTCCCGGGGTGTTTCTTTTTTCCCTAAATTCCAGCTCGGCCCTTATCAGTACGCTCTCGTTCCTCTAGCCTCTCTATCTTCTCCCGAGTCCTCGTACATTTCTCTTTTCCCCGTAAAGTCGCCTGTTTTAAAAGCTTGCCTCGTACCAGGCTTCCCCTCCTCTTCCTCCTCGCGACTCACACAAAGATCCAAATTGAATAATTAAAAAAATGAAGCGAGTATGTGTGTATGTGTGTGTGTGCGTGTGTGTGCGCCGGTTCATTCTTCACGTCGCTGGCGGAATTAGCGACAAAGGGGTTGTATTACTTTGAACGAGCGCTGTCCCACTTCCGTTACGTGGAATCAAGTATCTTGGGAAAATATAGTAATTTATTATTCGTGAAAATTAACCTCAATACCCGTCAGGCACGTTTATTCGAGAGACGTCGATGAAAATCAAAGTTCGTAAATTATTTACTTTCCAGGTAAAATAACATCCTGCATACTCTCTGTTATTATTATTGTTTCCTTTCAAACAACGGTTTCAAGACAATTGTGCAGTATCCATCTGTTGAAATTCTCTTTTTCATACGTATTCATCCGTAACTCCACGCGTGTCCCAATTACGTTTCCCTCCTTCACTCCAATATTACAATCCCAGTGTGCGTGTGACACGATGTAATTCCCACTATCTTGCGACACACGTGAAATACACGATCTCGATGAAAAAAAAAATTTCTCTTCTTCGACAAAAACGCTGTGGCGTATCCGACGCGAGTGTTGTCTTGGGATTAATAACAAATAAGTTTTATTCGAGACCGGGCGCAAGACAATGGAAAAGTACCGGGCTTCATTTATCCCATTTTCGCAATTTGCATCTTCGTAACGTTTCAATTAACGAGGTTAAAGAAGAAGAAGAAGAAAAAAAGAAGAATAATGTCGCGCTTATTGCTCGGCAACTTGGGAGCCGCCCGGCGTTTTCATTTAAGAATTTATAGAGGGTGGTGGGTGGCGTTTTAATCTTGGACGACGGTGAACGGTTTTAACCGGAAGTGCGGGCAGGCGGAACGGCTGAAGTGTCTCTTTAACAATTTCACTGGTATTACGCGGATCGTTATACACACTTTTTAGCCTGAACTTACGGCGTTGTTAGATTCAGAAAATGACTTTGAGCGATTCCCCGCCCCTCCTCGTTTGTCTGGCCACCGATCTGTCTGTATTTTTGTTCCAATCCGCGGGAAATTGAAACTGGTGGCGATATTTTCGCTCGATGTTCACCCAAACACTCAAAGAGCGATACTCTCGCGTGATTTACTTTGTTTTTTTATTATTTCCTTCAGCGACGAGCATGTATCTCATTCTTTTTTGGACTCGTCGTTACGTGTTAATCACCTGTGGTCGTTATGTTAATTGTTTTTGTGAGTTTAACGCGGTTGAGCGAAGGGTCGAGTCTGAGTCATTAACATTCTTTATCCATTTATTACGTAGGTCGAGAAGGCTTGTTATCAAAGGCAATTTGCATTTATATTGTTAGAAAGAAACTACTTACTCGCTACTTGTACCGAAGAATTAATTTTGCTTGGTAGATTTTTAAAATAAAACAGCGAGGAAGTAAAAATGACTGAGAGGAGTACTCAATATGTATTAAGTATATATTGCAAATTGCAAGTGTCGGTATTTTCGTATTTGTAAATCTTCTATAAACGACGTTTACGAAACAAAACATTCATGGTGTAACAGTAAACGAACGACAATAATTTGTTTGGGAAAGACATATATAGAGTAAAGAGTACAGTAGGAAAAATTTCGGATCGTCGTTATCTTCCACGTGACTCTAATTGAGCGTCTGAATTCTTCATCTTATCTCTTCGACTTTTTCCAATTCGCTGGTAAAAATAACCGAGCGCATAAACTTTATCGCTCGTCGTGTTATATCCATTAAATTTCGTTTTTTAATTTTAAGAAAATCGCACGACGCAATTTTTACAATGATGGTCGCGATATTCAGCTCGATATTATCGCTATTTGATATCGGTAATTACATTATTAATAATTTTTATACACCTGCTTTTAAAACTATCTCGAGCGTCTGATAAAGGAGTACTAAATTATTTCGATTAAGCGATCAAAGTCGTCTCGAATCGTAGCTCGCGAAACTGATGTTGGCAGCCGCAGATAATATTCGTGAAAGTTTTGAATTTGTTACTTTGTCTTTTACGAATGTCATCAATCAAAATCTGCGTTATCAGTTCCTCTTGGTCGACTGCCATGGCCAGACGTTCATCCTTGTGGTCAGTCTCAGTGATCACTGGTGGTTACTTTGCCGTAGTAAAATCGTTTCAACTCGACTGTCCACTCGCGGGTGGTTCCTTTCTGGCTTCGAAACTATTTTCACGGTTGTCGTTTGCATTTCGCGTCGTTCATTGCAAGAAATAAAGGATGAATTTGAAAGTTTCAGGATATTCTAGGATACTTTTTATTTTTCATCTTCAGTGGTGATTTTAAAATTTTGGACATTTAATTTTGTATTTTACATGCTTCTTTTTTGATAGAAATAAGGTAATAAAATTGAATTAAATTAGATTAAAATTTTATTACCAAGAAATTGGTAATAAAGTTAAATTAAATTTCAACGTTAGACCGGCACAAGATTAGACCGGTATTAAATTAGATTAACATCAGATTAGTATAGATAAGGAAATTGGCTTATTGTAGATTATAAAACAATAAAATTTTCAAATTGCGTCTGTATTTCATATTTTATAAGTTCTTTGTTGATGCGAAGTATTATTTAACTTTTTCACTCTTGAAAAACGACTCTTGCATTGCTTGTTCCAACAAGACTTTTGAGCGAGGCTGTTATACGAGGTGGGATTGGCAGGTACTTGTTTAAAAATTTCATTGCAGCGTCGATATAATTGCAGAGGAATGCCTCTAACAACCGATGAATAAGAAAAACCAATGGTCCACTTTAAAGACGTAGAAAGACGTGATAAAAAGAGGAACGCAGAGACACTGGGAAGAGGAGTTACGGCGGCGTGAAATAACGACGCAAGGACAGGAAAGGGCCGAGTAATTTCAATGATAGCGAGACGATGAAAAAAAAGAGAGAGAACTTTTGCAAAAGAGACAGAAAGAAAGGACAAGGACGCGGGAGTGTTTCGATCGCGAGAAGAAATCGGTGCAAAGTGAAGGGGAAGTGAAAGTAATAAGAATGAGGACGAGGAAAGACTCGTCGAGAAAGAAATTGCAGCAATGTAAAAATACAAACGTGGAACGACTCGAACAGGTTGTTGAAAAAAGATACGCCAGTGAAAATATCGATGAAAGGATCGACAAATACCAGCACGAATGGGAGAAGAAAAACTTGGAT